CTCTGCCAGGCCTGATTTTTATTGGGTCTCATGATCTGTTTGCCTGAGCTGGCTTTGCACCATGATCCTCCTGATCTCTACCTGCTGAGTAGCTAGGATTGCAGGTGTAAGCCACCATCTCCTGGCCATCCATTATGTTCTTATGAAATTCTACTTTGGTTTCACAGAAACGTAGTAGTTTCTTGTCAGCCCCGCAGTTACTGTAGCCACCATAGCCATCTCACCCGTGTACCACCGCAGTCCCTGCTGCAGGGCTGCTCCCTGCCCCTGCTTGCAGATATTATTCCACCCTCCTTCTTAAATTACTGGCTGAAGAGTTCTAGGCAGTGCCGTCATGATAGCATTCTTTTCTCTTTTGGTTCCTGTGATTGGTGTGAAGTCAGTTTTTGGTCCAGTTGCTCTTCCTTTGTGAGTAGTCTACCTTTTCCAATATTGTTCTTTTCTTTTTGGCAGTATTGAAGTTGAACTCTGTGCTTTGTGCTTGCTAGGCAGGTGCTTTACAACTTGAGCCATGCCTCAGTCTTTTTTTTTAAGTTATCTTTGGTTTAGGCTCTTGCGTTTATGCTCTGACTGGCCTGGACCATGATCTTCCTATTTACATTTTCTTTATAGCTGAGATGACAGGTGTGTACCAACATGCCAAGCTGCTAGTTGAGATGGGGGTGTCATCAACTTTTTCCCAGGGTTGGCCTCAAACCATGATCCTCCCCACCTCCTGAATAGCTGGGATTATAGGTGTGAGCCATTGTGCCTGGCCCATTTTGCTGTTCTTGATTTTTTTTTTTTGTGGTATTAGGGGTTGAGCTGAGAGCCTCATGCTTGCTAGGCAGGTGCTCTGCCACTTGAACCATGCCACATCCCATTTTGCTTTTCTTAAGATCATCTTGTTTTGTACCTGTGGTTCTTCAGTTTGACTGTGGTCAGTCTAGGTATGGATTTCTTTTGGTTTACCTTGCTAGAGACATATTGGACTTTCTGAGTGTGAGATCTGGTGTCTTTACACATGTCTGGAAAACTCTTAGCCATTGTGTCTTCAGATACTGTTGTTTCTTCATTGCCTGTGTTCTTCTAATCTTCAGATATGTCAGACCTCATATGCATCCTAAAGTTTTTCTTTCTCTTTGTTTTCCTTTATTTCACTCTCTAAAACTTCTTTTAGATCTATCTTCTAATGCTCTGCTGTGCTTATTTAATGTTTAATTTTAACTTATGAAATTCCTAGGGGGCTGGTGGAGTAGCTCAAGTGATGGAGCATCTGCCTAGCATGTGCAAGGCCCGGAGTTCAAGCTCTAGTACCTGAAAATAGAAAGGAAAAAGAAAGAAAAAGAAACAAAGAAAGATAACCCAAACGAAACAAAAACCAAAAATAGGAAATTGTAGACTTTGGTTGATTTCTTGTTTAGTACAGTTTTCTTGATTGACTTCCATAGTTTTGTTTTTTTTTGCGGTTCTGAGCCTTACACATAGTAGGTAATCACTTTACCACTGAGCTACACCACTAACCTGTTAGTTTCTTAATCATATTTCATAACTTTATTTCCTGAAGCTTATTAAACATTTCCTGAAACTTATTAAACAGTAGTTTCAGCCTCTAGAAGCTCTGAGGGTCTGTTCTGGTCTTTTGTTGTTTCTGCTATGCTAACTTTTAGGTGTCAGTACCTTATTTCCACTTCTGTGGCATTTTTTGTTTTGATTTTTTTGTTTGTTTCCTTGTTTTTTTTGCTATGAATTTATGTTCTGTGGGAATTCTTTGAATCCTGATTGGTGTGCATTCTTTCAGAAGAGTATTTATTTCTCTTTGTGCCACTTCTCTGGGGAATCTTTATTCTTAGCTTGAGAATTTTAGACATCAGAAAGCCTAGGTTTGCACTCTTGGGGATATACCCAAAAGACTGTTACTCCAGAGGCACCTGCACACCCATGTTTATTGCGGCACTATTCACAATAGCCAAGTTATGGAAACAGCCAAGATGCCCCACCACTGACGAATGGATTAAGAAAATGTGGTATCTATACACAATGGAATTCTATGCAGCCATGAAGAAGAACGAAATGTTATCATTTGCTGGTAAATGGATGGAATTGGAGAACATCATTCTGAGTGAGGTTAGCCTGGCCCAAAAGACCAAAAATCGTATGTTCTCCCTCATATGTGGACATTAGATCAAGGGTAAACACAACAAGGGGATTGGACTATGAGCACATGATAAAAGCTTTAGCACACAAGGGAGGGGTGAGGATAGGTAAGACACCTAAAAAATTAGCTAGCATTTGTTGCCCTCAACGCAGAGAAACTAAAGCAGATACCTTAAAAGCAACTGAGGCCAATAGGAAAAGGGGAACAGGTACTAGTGAAAAGGTTAGTTCAAGAAGAACTAACCTAGAAGGTAACCCACGCACAGGAAATCAATGTGAGTCAATGCCCTGTATAGCTATCCTTATCTCAACCAGCAAAAACCCTTGTTCCTTCCTATTATTGCTTATACTCTCTCTACAACAAAATTAGAGATAAGGGCAAAATAGTTTCTGCTGGGTATTGGGGGCGGGGGAGAGGGATGGGGCGGACTAGGTGGTAAGGGAGGGGGTGGGGGCAGGGGGGAGAAATGATCCAAGCTTTGTATGCACATAAGAATAATAAAAGAAAAAGGAAAAAACAAAAAAAAAGAAAGCCTAGGTTTGGTCTGCAGATCTGTGTGAAGGTTGACTTATGGTTATGAATCATGGGATCAATCTCTTCTCCTTCCCTCACTGCTGCTTTCTGTCCTCCTTGTGTGGCACACTTCTCTCCATTTTACCCTTACACTATAGTAGTTCCTTGGGTCCTGGGTTGAAATGTAGGTCTCCTGCTAGGAGTTGCCTGCTTTAGGGTCCAGGACTCATCTATTGTCATTGGTGTTCCTTGTAGCTATCAGAATCAAATCCTAAAGTCTATAGGTTTGGTAGTTAGCTTCAAGGAAGAATATGGTTTCATTGCATGCTGACTTCTTAGGCTGCAGTTTTCATTTAGTTTTTGTTTTTGCTTTCTGAGAATTACTTATTTTGTTCCCAGCACAGCTATGCACATAAACATATGTTAAAAATTTTCAATCCAGGTTTTTAGGTGCTGTTATTGAGAGAGCAATTGACCATGCTATAGAATCTAAAGATTAAGTTAGCTCTTAAGAAAAAAAAAATCACGACCTGGTTCCCTACTATCTTTAACTAACAATATTTGTCACCTGAACATATAAGATATGCAGAGGGAGTATAGATGTATAAGATCAAAGCCAGTTATACTAACAATACATATATACACAAGTAAATAGGTGAGTAGAAAGGTGAGAGGGAAGATAGACAGAATCAACTTCATGGGTATTATATGATTATTTTATATTAATAGGATAATTGAAATTCAATAGTCTTCTCTAAACCTGTGTGAGTTAAGTTCAGAAACGGCCTTTCTGTTATAGTAGGAAGCCTGGCCAACTTTCACATGCGTCTCTTGATTTTCCCAACCAAAACCCTTTGGCAGCATTACGTTATGGCTGTTAACAATGAAATAAAGTTGTGTCACTAATTAATTGTGCTAAGTTCATATGTTATTATATTTCTGACGGTCTTGGCTATACACTCAGGAATAATGGACAGAACAAAGAAAAAGCGTTGATAAAAAGAAGCCATCACTAGGAGCAGTGAGTATTGTTAGGTCTGGCTTCTCCTGAGTTTGGTTTGCATGTGTGAAGTATCCTGAGGGGTTTCCTAATGAGAAGTTCACATCTGTATGCCGCTGTGACTTTTAAGGTGTGACCTGTGCATCTTGATTTACTCTCTTCCTCTAATTCCAGAGAGCCTCTCGAAAAGGCTGGCTTACACAGAAAAACATGGTCTTGGGTTTTTAGACCCATTTTAATTTCAGCTCACAGTAGGACAAAAGAGTTCCTGTTTCTTAGTGGTAAGCACATTACAATAGACACGTTCCTAGGTGATGAAGTAGATTGGGCTTTAATCCTCTGTCGGCTTCCTCCTCCTTCTCTTCCACAAGCTTGGGTCCAAGTCCTGGCTTTGCCACTTAACAATTGAGGTGGCTAGTCAGTGAGCTGAGCTCAGTTTTCTAATGCCTTAGATGGAGATAATGTTAGCCTCAAATACAGTATTGTGAGAACTAAATAACACGTATAAAATGCCAAGGGCTAGGGAGAACAGCCATTTAGTAAATATAACTTGTTTTTCAGCTTGAATGGTGGAAAAATTATCACCAATCTTTGAACTAGAAGTGCATTTTCCATCCTTTCATTGTGTATTCATTCTTGTAGACTGCTTTGTGGAAGCTAACCCAGCACTGATACTCAGGAACATTGTAGTAGAGAATTCTGTCTGGGAGCTCAGTTAGATGAGGTGTCTTGTTAGACACCCTGTTAACCTGATACATGTCATAGTACTGGCCCCTTTATTTTATATAAATAATTTTGACAATCTTTTTGTTTCAGATGCTGTTACTAGGTTATTATTTTCTCAATTCTTATTCTCAAGTAGAGAAATAAATTAGTATCTGACTGCCAAACCACCATTCATTCATTCCTATTTGATACTCATCTGGTCTTAGATATATGTGGATGTATGTTTATTACCCCTTTTTTTGAAGGGAGAAATTCTACATTGTCTATGAAGTCAGCTTAATTAATCTATCTTTCATTAGATTTTCTGCAGTGTTTAATTTAGATTCATTTGAAACTTTGTATCCATTCCTGTTGCTATATTTTCCATAGCATGATTAAGAGAATTACCTAAGAAAGAGCAGGTTCTGAATCATCTCCTAGGATTCTGTGGCATGAAGGAGGTAATGTATGCAATGTTCTTAGCTGCTCAGAGAATGTTAGCTGTTAACTCTTACACTATTTGTGTTCTTTACATTCTACATTAAAAATTCTTCAAGGGCAGAAACTGTGTGATATGCACTTCAATATTATGGACTCAACATTTCATTCATCATAGTTTTTAGTGTTTCATCTTTTGTCTTTCAGTGATGAAATTGGAGCATCTGTTTGTAGGTGACTCAGGTCAATATTTGGCTATTCAATTCCATCTGGAATGTGCATATATATTCTTACATTATTATGAGTATAAAAAAGCAAAAGATGAGTTCAATATTGCCAAAGACATCAGCAAATTAAAAATTGATTTGACAGGTAAGACTTTACCTTTTATGAGTAATTTTATTTTGATAATAAAACCATTACATACATTGGCAGTTTATATTTTATGCTAGTATTTCATTTCCTTTATCTTTTTAGGTGAGAGCCACGGTGCTAGGCTTTTTTGTTTTCTTCACAGAGGGTTTTGCTATGTAACTGGTCTCAAATTTGTGATGTTCCTGTCTTAGCCTCTGGAGTGCTGGGATTATATGTACGTGCCACCATGCCCTGCTTAATATTTGATTTTGCTTCACAAAAATACATTTAAAAATTTTTATTTAAAAATCTATATTTTTAGGACAAATTTGGAATTATGTTTTTTTCCCCTCAGATTTACATTAATTGTTATAATCTAGTTAAATACATATTAAAAATAGCAGCACGTAATACATGTGTGGACTTTTAACCATTTGCTTCTGGTTGTGGGCCTCCAAAGGCTTCTTCTGACTCCCCAGTTTAGTTTGGCATCTCTGCATTGTCTTTTGTTGTAAGTACTTACCTATTGCTTCCATCCTGCTTGTTTTGTATTCCATTTTGTATTCTTTATGAGCAGATGTATCTTTTAAGGCCTTAGAACACTCTCTGGGAGGTAGTAAGCACTCAATGAATATGTGTCAAAAGAGTACATGCATTATAGAATTTTTCTTAACACCTCTGTTATTTCTTCTGAGTGCCAAATGAAAAACCGCTGTTTTCTTTTTAACTATTCCTCTTTCCCTAATGTAGCACAGTATAATTGGCCTTCAGTCTTGAATGAATTAATGAAAGTCAACCATTATCAGCTGATCATTCTATTTATACTTGGTGAACCTGGACTGAGCATCCCAGGATGTGACTGCCTGCCTCGAATTTTGAAATAACTGAACCAATTTATCCTCCGTATGCTAGGTCTAGATTTTCTCAAAGGCTTGTTCTTAGCCCCCAAATTCTATAATTCTTAATACCTTAGTAATTAATAAAACCCTTCAGATATATTGCTAGTTAAATATGACTTTGTGGGCTGGTCTGGGATCTTAGCCACCTTGTTTTACATTGTTTGTATGGGGAAAGTTTTTTAATGTCCAGCTTATAACTTTTGGAACAATGCCATGTATAACTTGGAGTCTTGTCTGTATTCGAAATTATAGTTATATATAATATAACTTGTGAGGTTAGTTTCTGAAATTGTTTTAAATATTTTGATCCCAGGAGACTTTTTTGGGACTATTAAGAAAATTAATGACACTGTGCTCTGTATATTCAGCTTTAACTGTTGGTGTATTTATTAGCTAGTTTTCGTATTTTTTTCCAAATTAGGGGTGTAGAACTTAGAAATACAAATGTAGTACTCACAAATAAAAAATGAGAACCAGGTTATTATTTTTTTCACTCAGCTATAGACTTGTTAGAAAAAAGTAAGCTGTTAAGCCATTTCAGTGGCTATCTTTAGCATAACATGTTTAAAAGGTTCATGCATAACTTAGAGCCATACTCATCACAGGATAAAAAGCAGACTTCTGAGGCTGGTTTTTGTAATCAAGGGTCTTTATAATCTGACATTTTCCAGAGAATGAATGTTGGAACTTCTGCTTCTCTTAAAAGTGATCTAAAAACAACTCTTCCACAGCACATGACTTCAGAGACATAAAAAGTGTTGGTGACACATGAAGCCAGCTAGAGTACAACACCTTGGCATTTAGAAGCTGATGACCCTGGCTTTAAGTGCTGGCTGTAATACAGAGATCCTTGTGACCATGAGCAAGCGACTATACCTTTGTCTTTTCAGTTATTATATAGAGAAATAATATTCCTTCTACCTATAGCACCTCTCCCCCACCTTTTTTTTTCTTTATTTTGAAGAGGGAGGTCATTTAATATAAAAATAAATGTGAAGAATCTAGTAGCAGAAATCCTGGGTTTGAGTCCTAGCACCATAGCTTGTTGGCTTTATAGTGTTTTAAGTCATTCTAACATCACTGGACCCTGGGTTTTTCTTAAGTGAAATAGAGAAAACATCTTACAATTTCTAAAGTACTCTGGGTCATACATGGTGGCTAAAGCCTATAATCCTAGCTACACAGGAGGTGGAGTCAGGAGGATTGAGGTTTGAGGTTAGCCACGTAAAAAGTTCTCGAGACCCCATTTGTTGGTGATGGTCACACACCTGTCATCCTAACGATAAGGGAAGCCTAAATAGGAGGAAACCCTATTTGAAAAAGAATGAAAGCAAAAAGGGTGGGTGGTGGTTCAAGTGGTTAGAACACCTGCCTAGCAAGTGCAAGACTCTGAGTCAAACCCCAGTACTGCCAGATATTCTAAATCATTCTGAAAGTATTGCTTTTCATGACTGTACTATAGATCTGATTGATAAATTCATACATACAGCTTTTTTTTTTTTTTTCAGGTGCTTTGGGAAAAAGGACACGGTTCCAGGAAAATTATGTGGCACAACTGATTCTGGATGTGAGAAAAGAAGGGGATGTCCTTTCAAATTGTGAATTCAGTCCAGCCGCCACCCCTCGGGAATACTTAACCAAGGTAAATCGAATTATAAAAATTTAACTCTTTTAACATCCAGGTCTAACAGTTTCAGTAAGTGAATATCATGGAAACTGAGTAGAGTGAGAAGAGTCTTCATTTTGCCCTTCTTGAGCCCTTTCAAGATAGCTATGAAAACCTCATGTTGAAGCCTTTATTTATTTTTACCTGTAATTAGAGATAAATAATACGTTTCTTCTAGAATTCAATAAACATGAATTAATAATGCAGTAAGTTATATATTATGACCTTGAAGAGATATGAAAGACAGACTGAGTAGAGACTAATTTTTTTAGCTGCTACCATATTTGTTTGTTTTTGCTTTACTTTCTTTTGTTGAGTGTGTCCATGTCTGTATTTCCCTTCCACTTTTTGTTTTTTTCCCCCATAAGATATGGTTTCACTATGTACCCCAGGCTGGCCTGGAACTGGCCATGTAGCCCAGACTGGCCTCAGACTCTCACTTCTCCTTCCTCCTCCTCCTGAGTGCTGGATTGTAGGTGTGTACCACCATGCTCGGCTCTCCCTTCTATTTCTTATAAAGACATACTTTGCTCCTTTCAATTAACAATATACTATGGAGATCATATGCACAGAGATGGCTCTTATTCTTATTCACAGCTGCATAGTACTTCATTTTGTGATGCTATCATGGTTCTAATGAATTAGTACCTTATTGATGGCGTTTATCATTTCTATTCTTTGTCCTTTACAATATAGTCTTAGTGAAAGGTGACAGATGTATATGATCTGAAGAGAAACCAGAGTATACAAATACTGTTAGAATAAACAGCTTTATGTCCTTTTTTTTTTTTTTTTTTTGGCTCTGAGATAGATTTCTAGAAGCAGATTTGCTGGGCCAAAGTGTAAAGACATTAGTAATTTTGCTAGAGAAACCATCAACATTTAAAAAATGCAAGAATATTAAAGCACATGTGTAGGGGGGATAGCCATCTGCAATCATACCAAATTAATAAATCATTCAGTTGTTGTTTACATGCATAGACATTTCCCATGTGTTGGAAATTAATTTGAGCAATAATGTAAGGAAATTTTTTCCTAGACAAGTTACCTACCATCATGAGACAAGGAGTCTAATGTCAGTCATTATTAGGGCTCTGTGACCTCCAACTCATAAGTCCATAAAAGAATCCTCAATGAGCCAGGTGCCATTGGCTCACACCTGTAGTCCTAGCTGCTTGGGAGGCTAAGATTGGGAGGATCACAGTTTGAGGGCCAGCCTAGGCAATTATGAGACCCTATCTCTAAAATAACTGGAGCAAGAATGAACTGGAGCTGTGGCTGAAGTGGTAGAGCACCTGCTTTGCAAGCACAAAGCCCTGAATTCAAACCTCAGTTCCATTAAAAAAAAAAAAAAGAATCCTCAATGAACCTGGTAACAGATAATGGAAGGATCTAGGCTCTAGGTATTTGGTGATCACCATCATGACCAATGATGCTGTTGAGCCTGATCCTCTGCCATCTGATGGATATTCTTCCCCAGAAGGTTCAGGGAGACCCCTTCAGTAGTTCCTCACTCGACCTTTAATGCTGTTTCCACACTGTGACACCATATGTATCCATTGCACCCATTAGGGTCTCTGAGTGCAAGTAGCAACTATTGGAAACACAGGATTTGTATTCTCTTCCCAGGCTTGGGAAGGTATTACCTCCCTAGCAGATAATGCCAATTCCACCTCTTTAACTCAAATTATCATATAATTTCCCCTTCCTCTTGGTTCTCAGCATAATCTCACTCTGTCTACTTCCAAAAAACCAAAAACAAGAAACAAACCCCAAACAACTCCCCTTTCCACCAAAAAAAAAAAGTCTGTGGTGGAGTCTTCTGATAATTCCTGATTTCGATCCAGATATTCTGAGTACAGCAGCAAAGAAGACATACTGGGTCTCTTCCCTTCATGATTCATATCTGTTCATTTCTTTTGTCCTCTCCACTTTTGGAGGCTGGGAGGTCTGCAGTATTCAGTGTCTGAAGGCCTAGTTCTTGATTATTGATGGAACCTTCTTGTGTCTTCACGTGGTGGAAGATTGAGGGACTGTTTCATGGGTCTTTTTTTTATTAGGACAACAGTCCTCTTCATTGTTTTTGTTTTTTGAGGCAGGGTTTTGCTATGTAGCCCAGGCTGATTGAACTTAAATTCTTCTTTCTACTTTAGCTTCTTGAGTGCTAGGATTATAGGTGCATGACACCATGCCTGGATTTATCTCTTTATTCTTGCCTTCTGAGGATATTTTTGAACATTCAGAGACAAAATTTCATTGGCTTCTTTTATAACAATGATAAGAATTTCTTTTCACCGGTTTTATGATCTGCTTTTGTTACTCTGTCATTATTGAATTAGTTGCTACCTTAGTATACTTTTTTGACATGTCTAGTGGAATTTTTTCTTGTACCGTGAAATTATGACTCTTGGTCTGTTGACCTGCATATAGGCCCCTCCAGCTGCTTCCCTGGAGGCCATTAACATTTACATTTTCTTCTTCTAGAGACCCCACACCTACAGTTTTTGATTGTCCTTTAATTGATTTTATTATCCATGTTTTGCTACTCTTCATTCTACAGCTGTAGGCAAATTTACCTTGAGTATACCACACTCTAAAATTCTCCCCTGTACTGAGAGTAATGCCAAGGGAAGAGGCTAGGGCTGAGTGAGAAGCAATCAGGATGGCATTTGATGAGAACTCTTATCTTCTGGCCTTGCTCCAAGTTCCTGGTTGCTTTTGTGATAACTTCAGCAAGAAGCAGTTGTTGATTCTAAGAGAATGAATGAAGGAAGGGAGAGTTGTATAAACTCAGGGATCAGACTACACAGAGCACAGATTATACTGCCTGAAGGACATAGAGCCATAACTGAACAAGTATGTGTACTGCTGTGGTCGACCCTGGTCAGAACTCCTGCCTAGCAAGTGCAAAGACCTGAGTTTAGACTTCAGTACTGCCAACAAGAAGAAATTACCAAAGACCTATGATGAAAACAGTAGCCACCAGGGTGTGCTGTGCTCCTGCCAGCCCTGCAGTTTTTGGGCTGCCTGATCAGGGATGGCCATTGCCTTGGAGACTGAGCATTGGCCTTAAGTTTTGTGTTTCTCTAGGCCAGCAGTTGTGTTGGAGTGCTCCTTCCTTGAAACCCTATAGATAAAAACTAGCATTAGGGTGAGCCTTGGAGACAGGCAAGGAAGTCTGTCCCTCTGGCCTGGGGTGAGATTTGGGCAAATGAACTGCTTACCCTTTCCACATTTCCAAAGTTTGGCCTCCCACCCTTCTCAAACTGGAGTCTCTACCTAGCTCCACTGGCTCCCACCATAAAGAAAATGTAGAACCATTTTCATCACTCCAGAAAGTCCCCTCACACTCTTTTGCAGTCACTTTCTTCCCACTGATCTACTTTCTGTTTCAGAGAAGATCTGCTTTTTCTAAAATTTCACAAAAATGGAATTATATGGTATATATTCTTTTGTGTCTGGCTTCTTTCACTTTGCCCAATGCTTTTGAGATTCATCCATGTTGTACCACCAGTGGTTAGCTCCTGTTTATTGCCGAGTATCTCATTGCATGGACAAACCACTATTTGTTTAGTCAGCTGTCAGTGAACATTGGAGCTGTTTCTAGAAGCTATTATGAATAAAGCAACTTGGGACATTTGTGTGTCTTTGTGTCCATATATGTTTTTACCATTCTATTAGGTGTTAAAAACATAAAAATTATGTTTTTAACTTTATGAGAGACTACCAAAGGTACTCTTTTCTAAAGCAGTTGTTCTGTTTTACATTCTGACCATTAGTGTGTGAGAGTACTAGTTCCTCTTGATTCTTGTTAATCCTAACTGTTGACAGTAGTTTTTTTGCCATTTAGTGAGTATGTTTGTAGTGGCATCTCATTGTGGCTTTTCTGTTTTCTAGTGATTCATTTTTTTAAGTTACTTTTATTGAGGTATATCTTACAGAAAAATGGCCCATTTTAACTACACAGCTTAATGATATTGCACAAATGTCAGCACATCTACCATTACAGTCAAGATATGCTCCATTACCCCAGAGAGCTCCATCCTGCTCCTTCTCAGTTAATCCCCATTCCTCGGGCCCTGACCAATATTCCTTTTCTAGAATTTCATGTGAGTGGAATCATACAGTGTACAATGCTTTTTATCTGGCCTCTTTTTCAGCATTTTTTTTTAGATGTATCTATGTCAGTAGTTCCTTTTTTTGCTGAATAGGATTCCATTGGTGAATGTAGCATAGGTTTTTTTTATTTAAAAAAAAATCTCTTTACCTATTGATAGATATTTGGGTTGTTTCCAGTTTGGAGCTATTACAAATAAAATTGATATCAACATTTAAGTACATGTTTTTTGTGTGGACATCTGTTTCATTTCTCCTAAGTAATCACTTAGGAGTAAAACTGATGATTTATATGGTAAATGTGTATTATAAGAAGTTGGCAAACTATTTTTCTGGTTGTATCAATTTTTATATTTCCACCAGCAATGTATGAAAGTTCTAAAAGAATAAAAAAATGCGAAATAAAGTAGCTATTAACAAAAAAATAAAAGGACTAGCAGTATGGCTCAACTGGTAGAGTGCCTGCTTTGCAAGTATGAAGTCCTGAGTTCAAACCCCAGTCCCATTAAAAAAAAAAAAGAAATATAAAGTAAGATTCATCAAAATTAAACCCTTCTTGTTACTGGATGCCAGGGAAAGTGGGTGGGATAAGGTTTATTAATGGGTACTAAGTTGTAGTTAGGGGCAAAAATTCTGATATGCTGTTACACAGAAGGATGACTATAGATAACAATAATGTATTATACATCCCAAAAATCTGAAAGAAAAGATTGTTTAAGATTTTCACCATAAAGAGATAAATATTGCAGGTTTATATTTAATAATTTAATATTACAAGGAATATTAAATAAATTTAACCTAATTTAAACATTACATCATGTATAAATCTTTCAAAGTCTTATATGTTCTATTAAAATGTTCAATTTTGTTTTATATATCAGCTTAAAATAAATTTTAAAACTTAAGAAAACCATGAAATGAAAGTTCCAGGTCCTTGTCTACATTTAGTCTTGCCAACCTTTTCATTTTAGCCATTTTATTTTTTGTGCTAGTGGTTCATTCTGGTTTTAGTTAGTACTTTTCTGTTTTCTGTTGACTGTGATTGGGGAGGATGTTTTTTGGGTACTTATTGGTCATTTGTGTATGTGTGTGTGTGTTCTGCAATACTGGAGTTTTAACTCAGGACTTTGTACTTGCTTGGCAAGCACTCACTTCAGTTATACCCTCAGCCCATCATTTTTTTTTTTTTTCTTCTTTTCCTTTTTTTAAATTGTTATGCTGGGGTAGTGACATTTACAAAATTTTTTACAATATATCATAATTGAATTTTTTTTTTTTTTTTTTGGTCTTAAGGACTATTTGCTTACCCAAAGGCTGCCAAGATCTTTTCTTTGGATTTTTTTTTTTTAAGTTTTTCTATATTCAGGTCTCATATTAATTTAGATTTGTTTAACTTTTATTTCATGGTACTGAAGATTGAACCTAGGTCCTTATGTTTGCTTGGCAAGTGCCCTCCCTCCAGCTCTACCCCCAGCCCTTTTTATTTTATTTATTTATTTGAGCAGTACTGAGGTTTGAACTTAAGACCTCATTCTTGCTAGGCAGGCGCTCTACCACTGGAGCTACACTTCCAGCCCATACTATTTTTATTTTTTGAAGCAGAGTCTTGCTAAATTGCCAAAGCTGGTCTCAAACTTGTGATCCTTCTGCCTTAGCCTCCCATGTACTTGGAATTACAGGCATATACTACCATATCTGGCTAGATTTAGCTTTATGTGTCATATCAGGTAAGACTAGAAGGTCTTTTTTTCCCCAAATGTATATCCCATTGTTCAACATTATTTATTGAAAAGATTTTATCTGCTTAAATACTTTTGCTGAAAATCAGTTGACTATAAAAGGAGTCTAGATTTTGGTTCTGTTTTGTTCATTTAAATGTCTGTCTTTATACCAGAACATAATTCTTGATGTCAAGTATTGTTAAATCTTCAGATTTTATTCTTTTTCAGATTGTCTTGGTTACTTTAGATCTCTTGTATTTCTGTGTAAATCTCAGAATCACTTTGTCAATTCAGTATTTCTATCATTAATGCCAAATTATTTCTTCTTGTTACACGGGTCACAGTATACTCTTGCGACAGTCAGAGAGACAGCTTTGAATTTAGAGACAGAGTAGAAAGATCAGATTTTGATTCCTGATATTACCACATCTTTATTGAATGTGTCCTTGAATCAGCTTCTTTATGTCTTTTGTTCTTTGTTTCCTCATCTATAAATGGGAATAGAAATACCTACTGCCCATGACTAGTATGAGGATGAACAGGAAAATGTATGTGAAATTGCCCGCACAAGGGCCTTTTGCCTGCTGAGCTCAGTGAGTGATGGCTGCTATTCCCTATTACTATTAGTGCCAGGGTGTTCTTGAGGTATAAATGGCATATCTTCCATTTCTACAAGTAAGATAATCCCTAATATCTATTTCACAAGACAGCCTGTCCACTATGTGTACATATTACATAATCTTAAGTAAAAAGGTATGTTAACAGCATCACCCTTAGCAATCTATTGAATGAATCAAATTTAACTTTTGGTCTAAATTTTTTGTGTCCTACCAGAATCTGGAGCTCAATGATGATACTGTTCTGAACGAGATAAAATTAGCAGACTGTGAACAGTTTCAGATGCCCGACCTGTGTGCCGAAGAGCTTGCCATTATCCTTGGAGTCTGGTAAGTTGATGTCTGACTTGGCTGCTTTGAAAGCCTTGCATGTAGGTCTCTTGTGTTTGGGAAAATCTTCAGGGAGGTCCCAAGACTTTTGGATGAATGGGGAATTTAGTGTTTATGGCAACAGAGGGGGATTTCTTGGGTAGCCCATTAAAGGGTTAGAGATTAGGAATTTCCTATGGGTTGATATACTCATTCTTCCATTTCCTTTGTAAGCAAAATTCTTTGGTTATCCCCAGCTGGGAATAGATTCTTAATTAGGTGTTAAAGATAGGCAGGAATGACTATTTTGACCTCTCATGATATTTACATTTCAGAGGATAGGATTACTTTTTTAACAAAAAGTAAAACAATTACTTTTTAAGTAATAATACAGTAACTTATATGTAATGGAAATAATTTCTCATCTTTTCTGTAGTTCAACATTTTTTTCTTTTGGTAGCACTTAGGGTTTGAACTCAGGGCTTCATGCTTGCAAAGCAGGTGCTCAAGCCCCACCTCCAGTCCCTCTTTTTTTTTTTTTTTTTTTCTATTTTGAAATAATTTCTAGCTTAAAAAAAAGTTGGTAGGGAAGGAGTCAGTGTAAAGAACTTTTGAGAATAAACTGATAGAATATCATGTCATCTTTGAGTACTTTAGTGTGTATTTCCAATAAATAAGAGTATTTTTGTATATAACCACAATACTACCAAAATCTGAAAATCAACATTCATACTTTATTTTCATTTACTTCTCAGGCCCCATTCTAATTACCACTTGTCTCGATAATCTCCTTTAGGGCAAATGATCCAATCCATAATGTATGTGTCCCATTTGATTGTTACATCTCTTTAATCTTTGTCAGTTTGAAATACATTCTCATTTTTGCTTGACTTTCATGATCTTGATACTTGAAATTTATAAACCAATTATATTTTAGACATTTCTTTAATTTGAGTTTGTCTGATTTTTAAAAAATGATTAGATTCACCTTATTCATTGTTAGCAGGCATATCAGAGGAGTGAAGTTTTGTGGTTCTTTTTTTTTTGTTTTGGTGTTACTGTGGTTTGAACTCAGGGCTTCATGCTTGCTAGCAGGTGCATTACAGCTTGGGCCACAACTCTAGCCCTTTTTGCTCTAGTTATTTTTGAGATAGTGTCTATTTTTTTTGTTCAAGTCAGCCTGGCCTGTGATCCTCCTATTTTAGGCTTCTGGCTATAGTTAGGATTATTGGCACATGCCATCATGTCCAGCATTTTTCTGTTGATACGGGGTCTGGCAAACTGTTTTTGCCAGGGCTGGCCTGGAACCATGATCCTTCCAATCTCAGCCTCCCACATAGCTGAGATGATAGGTATGTGCCACCTGTGCCTCACAAACTTTTTGTTTGGGCGGGCCTCGAACTATGATCCTCCCATTCTCAGTTTCCTAAGTAGCTAGGATTATAGGTGTGAGCTGCTGGTGCCTAGTAGTTTTGTGGCTCTAATTGTATCCTAAGAGGTAGAGTACAACTTCACTTTTTTTCCACTACTGGTGATGTTAACTTTGATCACATCATTAAAGTGCTGTTTGGTAGGTTTCTCCTATGTAAAATTTTTCTTTTTATCTTTGTAATTAATATTTTATATGAAAGTAATTTTAGGCAATGTAAATGTTGCATTTGTCAGTAAGAGATTTAGTAATAATATTCAAAATAGACTATCTCACAAAATTATAATAAATATTGAGACCAGTTAAAATTAGTAGTAGGTAGCTTAGGAAAGGGAGCATTTGAAAAAGATCTATTCTTATAACTCAGTAGAGCTCATTATTAGTGTTCACCTCATAGTATTTTCCTCTTATATACTAATAGTAGGTTTTCATTTATATAAAAGTTGAATTCATTTCTACAGTCCCCTTTTATTAGCTTAAAAAAGAGTTCTGTTTCTTAGTCCAAGACAATTATCCTGTCCCATTATTTGATTCCAGTGACACAATTTATATTTACTCTAGAAAAATTACTTTTTTCAATTTGCTATGATGCTTAGTATATCAGTACGAGTAGCAACTATGTGTTAGGCACTAACCTGCATGCCTTTACCCTCTCACTTCATATTCTAACAGCTGTAGGGATTGTTATTTTTCTCTATTTTTCAGATGGGAAAACAGTATTCATAAGGATAGCTAAATGACTTGCTCAAATTAGGATTTGAGCAAGAATTCTAAGTTCTTCTTTATGCAATTTAAAAAATATTTTGGCAATTCATAGTTTCCAGCTCATGAGGAAATTAAACCAAATAAACATGTTCCCAGGCATTCTGTCAGTTTATCTTTATTGTGTTAAACTTCATAGTTCAGAGAGAACTAAAAACCAAGAAAATGCTTGTCTTCAAATACTATTTTTTCCTCAAATAAGTAAGTATTAGAATTTCAATGTAAAGATATATGTACGGACTGAATAGATTTCACAGGCAGTTTAAATCTTCATCTTTTAAAATTTTATCTGTTGGGGGAGGAGGAGAGGAAGGAGAATGGTGGATGGGGTGAATTCAAGTATGATATATGATATATTATAAGAACTTTTATAAATGCTACAATGTACTCCATCCAGTACAACAATAATAATTTAAAAAACCCCTCAAAAATTGTTTATTTGGCAGTGTTGAGGCTTGAACTCAGGATTTCGCGCTTGCTAGGCAGGCGCTTTACTGCTTGAGCCGTGCCTCCAGCTGTAAATCTTCATCTTTTGATGGGGAATACTTGGTTATTTTCTGAATCATAGAGCTTTTGTTACAGTTTTTAAACCTTTGGGTTAGGACATCAGTGAACTGGTAACTCACATGAAGCTACTGTGAAGTTTTAAACAATGATTTGGGTGCAGCCCCTGATCTCTCTCATCCCCATGGCCACTAACTCCAGGTGACTTGGACACTGTGGTAGAGCAGGTCCATTGTTGTGGAATGAGAACCCAACCTACAGGAGGAAAGATTGATTTTGGCTCACCCTCTCAGAGGTTTCAGTCTAAGGTTGGTTGACTCCGTTGCCTTTATGCCCAGGGCAGGCCAGAAATATGAAGGCAGCAGGCGTGATGGAATAATGCTGCTCACTTCATGGTGGACAGGAAGCAGAGAGAATGAGAGGAAGCACAGGCCAGGGGCCAGGGGCCAGGGTTAAGATTTACCTTTCAGGTATTTGCCCCTAGTGACTTACTTTCTTTAATGAGGCGTCACTTCCTACAGTTTTCACACTCCCAGTAGTGCCATCAGATGGGGGCCAAGCCTTAAACATGTGAACCTTTGGGGGAAAGAAGACTTTGAGAAGGTGATTTCTTATAGGCTGTACATTGACTCAGTATTAGGAATGGCTTCATGCTCTTTCCCTAGACTCTTGCCTTTCACTGGCTTCCTGCTTGAGTTTGATCTTTACGAAAACTGAACACAGGAGTTTGGAATTTGCCCCATGTTGCTCTCCCTGTTTGTTTGGTTTTTTTTTTTTTTTTTGGCAGTACTGTGGTTTGAACTCAGGGCTTCATGCTTGCTGGGCAGGCACTCTACCACATGAGCCACTCTGCTAGCCCTGTTTACATGATGGGTTTTTTTTTTGAGTCTCGAAAACTATTTGCCCTGACTGGCTTTGAACTGCCATCCTCCTGGTCTCTACCTCCTGAGTAGCTAGGATTACAAGCATGTGCCCCTGGCACCCGGCTGCGCCATGTCTCTTATTCCTCAGTATACCTGCCTACTTTGGTGTTGTCATTTCTTAAAATATAGCATTCCTTAAATAATAATTTACACTACTGAGGAGGAAAGAGCAATTCTGTTCTAATTTAACAGTCTGATTTTCAGGTGTGCATAGTGATATATTATAAGTCTAAGATAATAAATTATGTAAAGTAGTAGTGATCCAATTCAATGACTGCTATAATTATTTATTTTAAGCATTTATATTTCCTTTTTTTTTTTCCTTTTTTTTTTTTTTTTCCTGCTGCTGGGGATTGAAGTAGCACCTGATGCACACTAAGCATGCACTCTACCACTGAGCTGCACTTCCAGCCCCATAATAATTATTTGTAATGTGTCTATAATGTTTTACTTTGCATACTTTGTGTAAGGCATGTTAGGACTGGAATACTTATATGAGACATGAACATCTATTTTGAATGAGGTTCTTATCTCTTACATGCTTGCTCACACATTAGAATCATAGTGTTTTAGAGTAGAAAGGACTTTAGGGTTTAATTGGATCATCTTACCACCTGATACATGATTCCTTTATGCCATCAAACTAGAAATGTCTGGGAATATGTGTGTGTGTGTTTTATGTATTTATATGTATATATGTTGTGCGTTTTAAATGAAATTATTTCATAATTTTTTTCCCCTATTGATTTATTTTTTTCTTACTAACAGTAGATTTGTTTGCCAGGCACCAGTGGCTCATGTCTGTAATCCTAGCTACTCAGAAGGCAGAGATTGGAGGGTCACAGTTTGAGGTCAGCCCAGGCAGATAGTTCTTGAGACTCTATCTCGAAAATACCCAACATGAAAAAGGGCTGGTGGAGTGACTCAAATGATAGAGCACTGCCTAGCAAGTAAAAGGCCTTGAGTTCAAACTCTAGTAGCATTCCCTCCCCAAACCCCCCAAAAGAAATAGATTCATTTAAAAATTGCTGTGTAAAAATTTCCTATTTATTATAAAGTCTATAAACAATATTAAAAATTGCAAGGAAGTATTACTATCTTATGGGGTTTTCTTTTCTTTTTTTTCCTTATATATTTAATACCTACATGCAAAATAATTTACATAATATATACATTTATGTTGTAGGAAAAAAATAAAATGAACACTGAACTTATCACCTTATTTAAAAACTAGAAGGTTATCAATATCACTAATTCTACCTATGTGCTTTTATGGTATCTCATCCTCTGTGTCTCCTCAAAAGAAAACACTATCCTAAATTTCATGTTTGTCATTTTCTTGTCTTTATATATTTAAGCTCATGTTTTATACACTGTAATTCAAGTGCTTCATTTTGCTTGCTTTTGAGCTTTATACACATGGTGTTATATGACATGGAACTCTCTGTGA